TGGCTAAGAGACGGCGTCTGCCGCGCTCTGCCGCGGTCGGCTTGCTCCAGTTCGAATTCAAATTCGACCACCGACCGACTATATATACGAGTGGGGTGAGGACGCGACTATATATATATATGCGAAAACTCAAAAAATTCCTCACATTACTGCCACAGTTGTTTTTCACATAAAAGACCTAGCTTTTCGTATTCTACATGTGTTCCCCTAATCACGAATCTTTGCAACTTCTCCGGAACTGACCAAAACAGCACATGACCCGCATTTCAAAATCTGTTAATATTTTACGAATGTTAAGCAGCGATAACATAGTAATCTTATCTGGAATTGAAGTCTCTACTACCTAGTTGTTATAAGGATGAATGCCCCAAATTACTGAATAACCCCTGTCACGCTTGGGATTATATTGATAAGATAAGATATAGCATGGTAGGTGATAGAGGGGATTATTCTGTTGTCAGGGAACTCTCGCATAGTCTTCGAAAAGCTGTTTATCAGAAGTGATAAGGTAAGCATTGAGCATTTTAAACCTTTTTTTTTTTGAAGGAAAGTGTGTTCCATCTATTTTTTTCTCTTCCTCCCACAGGCTTCTTCGTGTTTACCCCCAAACAAATCTGATAAAGGTCTAATAGTTCACTTTGGAAAAATTGCCTTTTTCGTGTCACTTAAGGTAATAATTTAGGATTTAAGTCACTTGAAATTTGAAGCTTCGGGAAAAGAGGCACTTAAAGTGTCACCTGAAATTTCGACTGCATTTGGGTTTGGGTTTGATTCATCTTTTTTCTGTGAAGTTAAAACGAAAGTAAAGCAAAAGTCTGCTTGTTTTTTTTTTGAGAATTGACAATGCAATCTCAAAATTTTGCAAGCTCGAGCCACGCAATGCACAACCGCAAGCTTCGAGATTCGAATTTTTGCCACCTTATTTTGGAAATTTTGAAGCGGGTTCCGGTTTTTTATTTTTGTGTGTCAACTCCAGATCGTTTATGTCATAACCAAAACAAAACTGGTTGTTCTCATTTCACTAAGTGATTGATTCAGTTCACATGACTATTTAAGTCTTCCATAGTGTGCCATGCTTTTCTGCACGACATGAAAGTGACATCATTTCTCATTCTCTTCCGTTCTTTTTTTCCTGTTTGTGGAAATGTTTGCACTACCATCCACGGTGCTCTGTAGTCATCCCCTGTGAGCAATAGAGAACAGGTTTTTCTCATGTTAGCTCAGTCCTCTTGCAAGCAATCAAAAAGAAAGCAGCTTTTCAGTGTTTTGTTGGGGAAGCTTTTTTGAAATAAAAACAGTATGGGCAAGCATGTCATGGACTTCCGTCGTGATTATTTCCTGCTTATGGAACTATGTTTTAGCACAACAAGTGCTAAAAAGAAGGGTAAGAGGTGTGGCTTAACTGAATATAATGGGTTGATATGTAATACCTATACTTTAGTTCCAAGGTCGAACGCTTACTAGCAAGAGACCTTGGTGTTGCGTGGTGTCCGAAACCTTCACCCATTTTCATCAACTGTGTTCCTTCTCTGAGGCATTTGAACGAAGGCTACCCTAGAGGGCTTCAACATAATCCATTCCGCCTCATTGGGTGCAAATAGCTGCCATTTTCTGCAAATTGCTGCAGGAGTACATACGCTTCATTTATTAGTGAAGATAACGTATCCCTGTCTGATCGTAATATTAGCTAATTTTAGATTTTTTTCTGGTAAAAATATTTCCAGCACAAGATATGTAATATGTTTAGTTGAGCCTGCAGCTAAATTTACTAACAACTTTTGAATCTAACCACAAACACGATCCAGAATGCAACCGTCGAACTTTGTATGTGCATCATATAAATAAATGTTAAATAAATAAACACATAAACATATGTAGTATAAAAAGATATTGAATCACATGCATCCAACAAAAATCATTTTCCAACTATTTCTTGCATCTTGTCCGCTATCATGGGAATTCCCTGTGGCTGTTGAAGTGTCACTCCGACGTTGTTCTCTGCTCTTGCATGCACCTGCATTTGCACGTCGTTCTCAATCAGCTGTCGGAAAACCCCCGCAATAAATTTAAGCACCAGCAGCACAAGTATGGGGTCACGGGGCCCCGTCGGGCATGTTGACATGCCCGACGGGGCCCCGTGACCCCATACTTGTGCTGCTGGTGGTGGATGTTGCTGTTACGCAGGGCTCTTTTTTATTTGTCGTAAATGGGTAAAAATGAAGGAAGGTTTCTCAAATTTTTTCTAGCTATTGCCTATAAACTCTCATCGGCATCGAATGTAAGAGAGGTTGAAGCTCCATGAAACGATCTCTTTTATTCATTCTATTTGTCTCCCATTTTCCATTCCTCTTCCATTTTGACCGACTGCCTGAGCGTAAAAAAATCTGTAATCACTGCTTCCAGCAGGAGAGCGGTTGTTGAAGACCAGAATAACTAGGAAACCCGCATGATTAGCTAACACTGTTAACTTTTTCTTACACTTCGAAAGTTGGCGGAAAAAGCTAGGTTGAGTGCCCGATGTACGCTGCCCTCAAAAGGTCGCATTTGATGCGTAGGGTAAAAATCATATTTGTTCCCATGCGCTTCTTTGAAACTGCTCCATTCTATGCAATAGGAATGGATGTTTGTGTGACAGATAATATTGTAAATGACATTTATAAATGTATGGTTTAAGTTTGTGTACTTGGGACTATGCGCGGGCTTTGATGATCTATGACTACTGTAAGCTTATGTTAACATTTATAAAATTTTATAGGACATGGAATTGTTTTTTTTTCAAAACCAACGCTGCAGTTTCGCATTCAGTGGCTTCCTATAGATTTCTTTGATAATAGCTTCTTTATATCCCTACTGGAATCGTTTTTCAGAAGAAGCCTACGTTGAAGTCCATTTCCCTTGTATCAGCCTGTCATTGCTCAATTTCCCTCTCACTGCCCTTTTCTGTCATGCGCTAAAAGTAAACAACGCACTCTGCTATAATTCTGTTAACTTTTCGCAAATAAGTTTGAAAATTTAGTTGTCGAAAGTGTACCGAATTTTTTGCAGGCAGATCCAGTGCCGAGATCCAGAAAGAGAGTTTGTTAGATGCCGATTGTCATATCGAATAGCTTTCTATTCTACTAATCAAATGTGCAATATGTCGGAAATGGTATGACGTATGTTCTAATGGCTATCATCATCGTCATGCCGTCGTTTCTCAAAAACTTTTGACAATCATTCTGATGTCAAACACTTTTTTGAAATTGCAAAAAAAAAGAAATTGCTCCAGTTGTAAGAGAAATAAAATTTTGTAGTATATCCTTTGAATTCGTCTACTTTGGCAAAAAGGTTTTTTTTTCAAAATTTCTACTCTTTGTACCATAAGCATCAGGAGCTGCTTGAAAGTTATTGGATGTTTTTAATCTTCAGTAGCAGATGTTCCGTTCTAAATTCATACCAGGTTTTTCATAACAAGGCACGAATTTCGTCAAAAAATCGTTTAACTGCGTCTTAGCGGTCCTTCCTTTTCTTTTCCGCGTGAAAAATGGTGGGCGTAGCGAAGTGGGCGTGGCCTGGACAATATAAAGGTCGTCTTCTATAGCACTTAGGGCCCATGGTTGTATACGAAGTAGCCATAGACATTATATGCGTCTGCTTCACTACTTCACCGCTATCTATTTGACCTCCCCTAGGCTTCCAACAAAGGCCCATAAGAACTTTCGGGTCTTATGTTCTGCCTCATTGGGTGCGATGACGTATTGCTGGTGACGTGCTGCTTTGCAGACGTTTTTTGCCAATTGTTGCAAAATACCGATGTGATAAACAAGTTGCGTGGGCATTAAATGACTGTGTAACAAAGATCTCTTTCACCTCTCTTAATCAGTCAGCCTTGTTGGGGATTGTAAGAATGGGATGTCTTCACACTTCACATTCTGTATATAGGATGATCAGAAATCATCAGCTTTGGTGAATATTTCCTAATGCAGATCAGCTCCAAGAAGACGGAGATAATCGGCTTTGGCAGACTAGGCGTGTGCGATCGTGGTTTCCTTGTTTTATTTAGAGTTATATAACGCTGTTTGTGATTTTATAGGTAATTTTGTGTCTCATTCTGATTTTGTTAAATTTGAATCGCTAGATTCATGGTTGCCCATTCATCTCGGCATTTCAAATTTTCCAGAGCAGAAATCACGAACAGCTTGTCACTCAATTTTAATTATTTATCTTTTCTCCCGCGCAACTTTTTGGCACTTTAAGCAGGCATTTTTCAACTATATAAACGTCCCACAACTTTCTTTCTACCTCAGATATATCTCTATATGTACTCTCACGCATACAATTAAAAGTCCTACGTCTGCTTTTGATTTTTAACAACTAAAGCCTTATCATTGTGAGATTGGGCCACATCAAATGGAAGCGGTTTTTCATAAATGGTGCCAATCGAGCCAATTTGCATTGATATGGCATCGTCTTTGTGTAACTTAGCTTCCGTGAATTTTGATTGCGAGTTTTGGCTTCTGTCCAAATAACAAATCCCTGCACAGTCTGCACTTGCGTATTGGCGTCCATTTCTGACGTCATTAGGAGTTTAACGTTTTGATTGGCAGATCATCGCTCAGCTCTGCTGTGCTGACAGGCTGATGGATTTTTCATAAAACGCGTAGTCAAGTAGTGCAGCTTCACGACTAAAGTACGCACTATTTCGTCACTTTTTTAGGTGGAATCTGCGTGTTTTTACGTATTTTGAATTCCGCATGCTCAACCTGCATAATCCAAACAATGTCCTGCTTTAGTATGCACAATACACTTTTCGTTTACGCAAACCTGCGTACAAGTTTTTCTCTAAGTGTTTTACTCGATATCGAGATTTTTCTGTCTGATTGTTAGATAAGACCCTTTCATTTCGCAGACATTACACTAAGCTCCATGGACTTTTTTTTTCGCGTCGCTGATGTCACTGTTCGCTAGAGATCGAAAAGTCCATAAAGCCAATCTCGTTCTAAAAAAATCCGTGATTACAGATGACAGCTGCAAACCCACAACAACAACTCACCCTGTTCAGCAAGTACAGCACTGAAGTGCGACCACCAGTGATGGTACGACATGATGAGCGTATTCGTTCGATGAAGTGCCCATTTGAAGAAATTGCTGAATCAGAAGAGGAGGATATTCAGGTAAGAAAAAGATAATAAAGGAAATACAAAATCTTCTGGTCTATCTCTCATTATTGAGGAAAAACATACTCAAAAGCACATTGATATCTATCAACTCTTTAGGACCTGACTTTTCTCCAGTAAGAGAAAGATTTGCTCACCTACTGTTTAGGCGATAAGGTAGCATTTCAATAACAACACAGCGAGATTTGGAACTTTTTCAACTACAAGGCGCTTTTATTTCTAATTTTTTCAATCTCCTATGATTGCTTATAACGGTAATTCATTTAGAGCGAACTCGTTAAGTTTTTAAGCGTGAATCCTGCTCGGTGGATGTTGCTCACAATATTCTTTCGCACATCGATTTAACCATATTATAAAAAATTTAAGCCAAACTTTTTTCTTTCTCTCCATGCTTTACCCTCTCCTATTCTCCCATGGATCACTCTCACCCATCAATGAACTTCCAAATATTCTTTCACCAGCAGAATCTCTACACAAATACTAAATTTAACCATTTAGAAAGTTACTGGGAAAGTTTTTGAATTATGTACATTTCAGCTCCCACAGCCAACTCAGCCAGAAGGTCGATCACCCTTTGCTGTCGCTTTCGAATCGCCCTTTGTCGAACGACGTCCAGCTTCCCCTCAGAGCTTGACCTCAGCCTCTGCCAGGTACGCAAATACACCAAAGCGGAGGTTACGGTAACATACTGGGCCTTTTCTAGAAAATTCCCCGTACCTCGATTATGTTGGGGATTTTCCGGCCCAACACGCCGACAAGCACCATCTGTGTTCGGATCCCTGAGTCCAGACCGACATGTTGCTGGATCAGATTTTTTGAGTAAGTTTACTTACAAGGGAAGTTTCGCCGAATCGAAATGGCCGTTTGATACGTGGTATATACCCGGACGCGGGGCTCGGAAGGTTAGTATCAAATGTGCGCCCATTAGCTGCGACGCGTTATTGTGATGCAAGTTATGGCCCTTTGAAGTGTTTGGCGTGTGCTTGTCTAGAAAACGCACAAAGATCCGAATGTGGTCGTGTGGTGTAGTGGTTAGCGTCTCGGACTCACAGGAGACCGGTGAGGGTACGAATCCTGTTGCTGTCCACATGTTTTGCGTTCTTCTCAAAAATCATCTTTTACCTGTTTTATGTATTACTGGGGTAAAAAATGACACATACGGGTTACGGAATAATTTTTCTCACGAAGCAACGACTTTTTAGCGATGGCTTTTCAATTGACTTTGAAGATTTGCCAAATCCTGCTTCCACATACTTTCTTCGATTGCACGTAGTATTTATGTGACAATCTCCAAGTTGTGTCACGTCGTACTATTGATTCTTGCTAATGGGCTACCTTGTGAGAATGATACGGCAGGATGTATAATTAGTAGAGTTTAACCACCCGTATGTTCATTTTTTACGTCAGTAATGCATAAAACAGGTAAAAAATGAATTTTGAGAAGAACGCAAAACATGTGGACAGCAACAGGATCCGAACCCTCACCGGTCACCTGTGAGTCCCAGACGCTAACTGCTACACCACACGACCACAATCGGATCATTTATGCGTTCTCTAAACATGCACACGCCAAAAATTTCAGAGGGCCATAACTTGCTTCACAATAACGCGTCGCAGCTAATGGGCGCACATTTGGTACTAACCTCCCGAGCCCCGCGTCCGGGTGTATACCACATCAATCGGTCATTTCGATTCGGCGAACTTCCCTTGTTAGCAGACATTCGAGAGACTTCCCAAATCACGCAAACTTACATTTATGCCAAAAATGTTCGCTACTGCTTATGATCTGAAACTTATGCACTGAGTTTTTCAATTCTTTGAGAGCGTCAAAAAACTTATAACCTCTTTTGGTCAGTTACCGTTACAGTTAATCCTCTGACGCACTTTGTTTTTCTGCAGCAATGCGGAACTAATCAAATGCTGTTATGTTTGCTTTGCCCGTTATCATTAGGGATATTGTTCGCTGAGAGAACTTCGAAAAGTATTCGAAAATACTTGATTCTTTTATCTTTTTTGCTGAATTCACCTACAAGCTTACTTATTACTAGTGGCCACTAGCTAATAGCTATTACTAACTTAAACACTTAGAAAAAGCTTGAGGATAATCGTTGATTTCCATAAAAGAGGAGACTATGCAAAATTGAGGAAAACTATAACACTACTAAATTATTTTTCTACTTATAACTAATACCTCATTATCATGTGTATTTTAGCCCTTCCACCTATCCCCGAAACAGCTTCTTCGTGAATTGACCACAAAACACCTGCTAAGAAAGTCCTCGGCTTGCAGTGGGAATCCGGATTGACTTGCTTGTTAAGCATTCCTTTCTTTTCTCTATATATCTGAACTGCTCTTGTACACAAGAGAAGGTCAGACCACTATTCTTCACAAGAACTTTTTTTCCAATCGATGATGCTACGAAAATGTTTGCTGTTATAATCTTTATCTTTGTGATCTTTTTCTAGTCCTTTTTGAACAACTACATATACTACTTTTTTTCTGAATTTTACTGTCTCTCCCACATTTGTAGATACCATAAGTGTCACATACATCTATCTTTGTATTTTTCGGGTTTATGATCACAGTCTTGTATAATTGTACACGGGTTTAGATTGAAGTATGTGATTGCTAATATCCTAATAAATTTTCACGTATGACGATGTCTAAGTGAAGAGCTTAAAGAGATTCTGTTCTGATAAAATGAAACGTAAAGCATGAAAATACTACTGAAATATGTGGCTCTGATTTCTAATTCCTCAACAGATTATTCTATCTTTGTTTTTCTTATTGTTGATAGAGTGTTTTGATTTACATTTCAAATGAAACTACTATTCTAAGCTTTCGCAGCGTTTTCAAGGAAGAGTTGAGTATTTTCAAATGGAACAGATTTCAGCAGGAACACAAAATCAAATTCCTTTTCATTGCTACATTGGGAAACAATACTGCTTTCCACAAGGACGAAAACATATGCAATCTTTCTATTTGTCATTTGCTTGTTTTGAAGCTCTGGAAGACTGTAAAAGTGCTCGAAATGGTCTTTCTTGTCACTTCTCACTTATCTGAACTGATAGTGGAATAATGTATCATTTATGTAGATTGAAGATGAGAGAGCAGCGGAGGTTTGAAGCTACCAAAGTGTGCAATAAGTTGTAGCGTGATATACTAATGTCAGCTATCCGTGATATACAGTTTGTATAGAAAGTGAATTTTATTTTACAAGTGTTTCTTTCTGTATGTCGAGTAGAAATCTTTATCCTTACCAACATCCAATCCTGTAACTTCTCTCATTTTCAGCAAGTGCGCGAGCTTGAAAAGAGCCGCATCTCATTAATGCTTTCAAATTCTGATAAAAACTTTTGAAAATTAATAACAGGATAATATTATATGTACTCTCCACAAATTATGGAATCTTGGACAAATTTTTTTGCTGACATATTATGGGTTCGTACAATTTTGCAGTATCCGTTATTTCACCCCAACCCGAGTCTGCATAACGCATGAAGTGCACTTCTGCATTTGCTAAATCTGATTATTTTACTAGTATACTGCAGAAGTAAACAGAAAATGCTACCGTAATATGATTTGTTGGTGAAAAGTAGCATAATATACTTATAAGTGCATGCAGCCTCTCCCTTGCAATCCAAAAATGGTAATGCGACATTTGAATGTATGTTTTCGAGAATTTTCTGCCATAATCATAAAATATCCAATTTTCCAATGCAAAGAAAAGATTCCAATTCCAAATTCGGAGGTACGTAGAAAAGTAATCAAAAATGTGTAGGTAGGAAAGTAATCAAAAAGCAAACATGGATAAAAAAGTATATAAGTACAAAAAGAATAGTAACTAAGTAAATATAATATAATAATTAAACCATACATAGCAATAAGATAATAATAAAAATAAACATAAATGAAGGCTCTCTTTCTTATTTTCAACGAATCAGGGTCACTAACACTAATTGTGCTGATTATGCAGAAAACAAGCCACGCTCCCTTTCCCTGCGTTTGATGTTTGGCGTTTGATAGCAATTGTGTTAGTTCTATCACGCCCCCTCCCTCCCCCACTCATTGTGATCATTCATTTACATGTTTACTTGCCACACCCACGCGATAAACATTGCTGAAATTGCACTATTAATATCAAGAAGTCGTAGTAAATCAAATGTTTGCCCGAGAATTTCGCCAGAAACTGGATTTCTCCTACGAATTTTTGGTTCACAACATATAAAAGGAACAGTCTGATGCTTAAGTATTTTCTCATCTTCTGGCATCAACTGTTTGTGAGTTTTGACTCCGTAGCCATTTCACCGGACACAACCCGCAAAAATTTTTTTGAAAATTTTCTAAGTTAATTTGAGCGGCAAAAAATAATGACAAGGTGAGATCAAAAGGTCTCACAACTGCGAAATTGATGGCTCTTGCAATTTAAATCAAATTTCAAAAGATATCATTCATTTTTCATTTATTCTTCAGTTTCAGCTCTCGATCAATCGGGTCAGGCCTTTCTGAGAATTTTCTTCTTTTTCATATCTCCGTCAGAACGAGCACTCATAATCAATCAGTATGCTTTTTTAAGACCTCTCAAGGTGTTCAATGCTTTGCATCGCGGCCTTAAAAATGACATCATTTCTTCTTCTCTTCTGTTGTTTTCTCCTGTCTGTGTAAGTGTTTGTTCTCCTATGCATAGAACAATTCCTTACGTTTGTCTGCTGTTTCTGTTAACCTTAAGATATTACATACTTTTTAATTCACAGTATTTTTAGCGTTCCTAAGAATGTTCTCAATTTCTGCAGGGGAATTTTTCGACTGCAAGAAGGAAGAAGCTTCCTCAAAAAGGTGTCCTTGCGACGGCGTGCACCTAAAACGTCAGCCTTTCTCGACTGCGTTCGGAAAACCCCTCGCTGGAAGTTCAACGAAGGGGCGTGGACACGGGGCGTGTAAACATGCGCGCCGGGCCCGGGGACTTCTATTTGCTATAAGGACTGTTTTGCTGACGGACGGAAGGGCGAGGTGGGGTCACGCTTTTTTGAAAATTTCTTGTCAGCACATTCTTCAATGTGAGAAACATCACTGACGTCATGAATAGCCATTTATCGCTGTTTTCTTCTAAGCCTCTGCTCCATTTTCGCTATAAGCGTTTGATCGATTCTGAAATCACCGCTTGCTAGAGCACTTGTCGAGGACAAAACAACCAGAAAAACCGGCTAGGCTAGTTTGCACTGTGCTCTTTTTCATAAAGCCGCGGATGCAGTTTGCGATAAGAAAAAAATGCCTCTATTCAGCTTCTGCCGAGCACGCTGCCCTCTCTCGAAAGGCCGTATTTTGGTCTGTGCAGATTTTCGTCCTTCTCAGCGCATAAGGTTAAGTCTCTTGCACCTTCCATGTACAAGAACTTGCCTCTGCATTTGCTCTTGTAATATTCTATATTATGACACTTATGTGCACCTAGAAAGTGACTTATGACGATGTTGAGGTTATAGTAGACTGACAATCAAATACTTTCAATATTGGAAAGCGCTTTGTTTATATCAGGTTGTCCCATAAGTTCCGTCCGTTTTGAATTTCGATCGCAATAAGTCATACACTTTTCATTTCTAGATAAGTTGCAAGGTATCATTCGATAGATCAAAGCAAGCTCTACAAGATGGCTGTTTTGCTTTTGTACTAGCTTTGTTACATCTCGAGTTCCAACGCGAAAACTAAAAAGATTTAAATGCCTGAAAAATCGATAAAAATTCGTAACTCCGTTCAAAAAAATCCTACAAAAATTCTAACTTGCTCATGTAAACACTATCCATCTAAGACATTTATTTACGCCGGTGCCGTATTTTTTCCTTGGCTAGAAGTCACGAAAACGAAAATTTTCATGTTTTTACCAAAGTGATGCTGTGCTGTCCCTAAGTAGATAGTTGTGTACTATTAACCTGCGGAAGTGTAAACATAAATTTTCAGCTCTCTACAAGCAGTAGTTTTCGAGAAATATGGATTTTAGCGTAAGGCATTCAAGTAAGGCAAGCTATATTCAATATTTCTCGAAAACTACTGCTTGTAGAGAGCTGAAAATTTATGTTTATACTTCCGCAGGCTAATAGTACACAACTATCTACTAAGGGGCAGCACAGCATCACTTTGGTAAAAACATGAAAATTTTCGTTTTCGTGACTTCTAGCCGAGGAAAGAATACAGCACCGGCGTAAATAAATGTCTTAGATGGATAGTGTTCACATGAGCAAATTAGAATTTTTGTAGGATTTTTTTAAACGGAGTTACGAATAATTATCGATTTTTCGGGCAGTTGAATCTTTTTGGTTTTCGCTTTGGAACTCGAGATGTAACAAAGCTAGTGCAAAAGCAAAACAGCCATCTTGTAGAGCTTGCTTTGCTCTATCGAACGGTACCTTGCATCCTGTATAGAAATGAAAAGTGCATGACTTATTGCGGTCGAAATTCAAAACGGACGGAACTTATGGGACAACCTGATATATGGAATACACCTAAATTAGGCTTGAGAATGCTTGTCTCCCGCATTCTTCACAACAATATTCACTGTATTGGATACAGTCGCATTTTTCTTCAATGTCTTTGTAGTTAACAGTCACCCAAAAGGCCAACTGAAATCGCCGTTCGATTATCATCTAAATGATATTGGAAATGCTTAGAGTTCAAAAAGTTCAAATTTTGGCTGCCAAGGTCAGACAAACCGATTTTTAGTCTAGAATTTTTTTCTTACAATGCACATCTCCGCTTTCGATTTTCCTCCATTTGATTTTTGGTAAATCTACACCTCCTTTCTTCTCTACATCCAACGCCCACTAAAGAAAATGACCTATCGTCGAGTCATTTGCAACTTGATATGCGTAGTGCACACTGTACACGTTGACTGACGAACTGTGGAAGTAGAACCTGCTCATTTCTAGTGATTTCTCCTTGTTTCCTTGTTTCTTTTGTTTTAGTTAGTTATATGTTAGTCAGTAGAACACATTTCTACAATTTTTTTGTGCTAGAAAATGTTTTGTTGGGAAGTTTCTAGTATGGGTTTCTAGTATAGTTTCTAGTATGCTACCGTAATATGATTTGCTGGTGAAAAGTAGCATAATATACTTATAAGTGCATGCAGCCTCTCCCTTGCAATCCAAAAATGGTAATGCGACATTTGAATGTATGTTCGCATCTCACTAATGCTTTCAAATTCTGATAAAAACTTTTGAAAATTAATAACAGGATAATATTATATGTACTCTCCACAAATTATGGAATCTTGGATGCAAATTTTTTTTGCTGACATATTATGGGTTCGTACAATTTTGCAGTATCCGTTATTTCACCCCAACCCGAGTCTGCATAACGCATGAAGTGCATTTCTGCATTTGCTAAATCTGATTATTTTAC